AGGACCTGGCACTTGGCCTTGTTGAATCTCAAACAATTGACCTTGGCCCATGGATCCAGCTGATGTTTCTTTCCTGCCTACATAGGCTGGCTTTATGGCTATCCTGAACTCTTAGGGACCAGGTCGGGTTTAGGGGAAGCAAACCAACCCTCTGCCTGCACCTGAGCCCTGGTGCAGGGTGGTGACAGGGTCTGGGTGGGTGCCAGGGAGCCCCTTTGCTCAGCAGCAGCTGCAGAGCACCTGTGCCCTCTCTCTGCAGGTCCTGAGGTATTTCGATTACGTCTTCACTGGTGTCTTCACCTTTGAGATGGTTATCAAGGTAAGAGGCCTTGCAGACTGGCTGTGCTGGGGGGGGCTGTGTCCTGCAGTGTCCTTGCAGCAGGTGGGAAACAGCTCAGTTTTGGATTCTGATCCTAACTTTGGATGATGGAGACTTTAAACCCTGGTTCTTAGCAGCAGGAGTCAAGAGTGCTCAGCACCACTTTTATCAGTCTCCAGGCTCCCCAAATATGCTGCTCCTTGATACATACCTGGGGCACAGGGACAGGTCTGTGGCTTCCCAGCAATGTCCCTGTCCCCAGCACGTCCCACCTGCGGCTGCTTCCACTTGATGGCTGAACTGCTCGTTCTCTCCCTATTTTTCTCCCCGTTTCTCCTCCGCAGATGATCGATCAGGGTTTGATCCTGCAGGACGGCTCCTATTTCCGAGACCTCTGGAACATCCTGGATTTTATTGTGGTGGTGGGAGCGCTGGTGGCTTTTGCCTTGGCGTAAGTGGCTATCGTCCTTGTCAGCTCTTTGCCTTCCATTGGCTGGGGGGGAGGAGGATGTAACTGTGTGTTATGGCTACTAGACCTTGATTTTTTTATTTGTTTTTAAATTTCTCTGCACCCTTCTGCTCTGCTTCTGGGATGACTCCTGGCAGCAGTGCATGATTTGATTTCTCCTTGTTTGTCAAATGCTGGTGAGCAAGCAGACAAGGGACAAGGCTAAGCAATCTGCAGATGCTTGGAAGAGCTTGGTGAAGAAATTGGACTTGAAAGAAGGCAGAAGGAGCTGTTAGAGAGGGGAAAAGACCCAAGGGTGTCAGGTTATACAGTTACTATACATCCCGGGGACAGCAAAAGCAGCAGCCTGCCAGGTGGAACTGCCCTCTGAACATGTTTGTGCTGGAAATGGTGCTCCTGGCCAGTGGCTTTTCCCCTCCTCCAAGGGGGAGCATCGCCCCAGAGCCCTGTAAGGATGGGGAAGTGACCAGTGGGGTTTGTGCCCGTGTCCTCTGCAGCATCACACCGTGGGCAGGGTGCTGCCTGCTTGCTCTGCAGTGTGTCCCTTGCAGTTGGGCTCTGGTACCTAGCTTGTGGCACTGACAGTGGGTCCTCCTCCCCAGAGTGACTTGATGTCTGTCATGTCCATGCCATGGAGGGAAGAAGCATCCAGAGATGACTTTCCTGCTGCTCTGCCCTCCTGTGTGCTGCTGGCTGGGGCAGGCAGTGCAGTGTGAGTGTGGGGACAGATGGAATGGGTATGGAGGCACCCAGAGAATGGGCAAGAGGCACCCACTGTCCCCAGGGCTGTGGTGCCTTGTTGGTGCCCAAGGATGAGAGGAGATGCTGTGAGTTTGTCACACTGTTGTCCTCTCTTTGTCTTTGACACTGATGGTGGTGGCATTAGTGCTGGTGAGAGGGGAGGGCCTGGCAGCCACACGGGCTGGAGCCCTGTCCTTGTCCACAGCTCAGGTATCATGTGAAGCTCTCGGGGTGGCTGTGTCCAAGCCCTCAGGTCATTCGATGGGTTACAGCCCATAATCCATCCCTCCCATCCTCACCCCTGGCCAGGTGGCAGCTCTTTCCTCTTGCTTTCATCTACTACCCCCTGGTTGAAAACACCCCTCTGTGTTTGGTTTTCCTGGGTAGCCATGGGTGCTGCAGGAGGTCTCTGAGCTGGTCCAGTGGTGCTGCCATCATCCACCAACCATCAGTGCCACATCAAAATCGCCAATAAGCAAATGTCCACCTATAAAGTCATCTCCTTGTGTGCCATCACAGCTTGTCCACTGACCTCTCAGAGCCCGTACGTCCTGAGGAAGAGCTTGTCTTGACTCATCCAGAGCTCTCTGCGTGCAAAGCTAATACGTCAGTCCAAATGCAGCCTAAATAAAAAGCCCAATAGAAAACCCTTAATCTCCAAAGAGTTCAAATTAAATTACCTGAAATAACCAGAACCATAACGAGAAGACCCTGCTTGCTTTTGCCTCCCGTGGCACCCTCCGAGGAGGCATTGCACAGAGGAGCAGCGCTGGCTGCCGGCTTTGCAGAGCTGCCAAGAGGTGGTGATGCCTGCGGGCGCGCAGCAGTGGGAAGGTTGTGCAGTGGTCAGTGCGTAGCCCTCATCGTCTCGCCTGGTGAGCAAGGGCAGGAGTTTCGTAGAACGTAGAATCGTACCATAGACTGGTTTGGGTTGGAAGGGACCTTAAAGCTCATCCAGTTCCAACCCCCCTGCACATGGCAGGGACTGAGCTGAATCAGGGACAGAGGTTTGGTTACAACTAGGGACCTTGTAGACCACTTTGGCTTGTCCGAGTGGGTGTCCTGCTGGGTTGCAGGAGTTCCTGTGCTGCAGATCAGGCTCTTAATCCATGGATTTCTTGATGGAGGTGATTTACTAAAGTTAGCCTGTCTGGATGGGAACTGTGGCCTTGCTGGTGGGCTCCCTCAGAAGCACCTGCCTTTGACTGGTTGGGACCAAGCCCCAGGGTCTCTCCCCGACTCCTGGCCAAGGAGGACCACGTGCCCACCTGCTGTCACCTGCTCTCCACAGGTTCTTCTTGCAGCATGGGTTTTACTATGTGCCCCCATCCCAAAACCTCCAGCAGGGAGGGCAGGGGCTCCCAGCTCGCTGGATGGGTCTCTCCCTGGAGATAAGCCCCATCCTGGAGGACACAATGTGATCTACTTATTGTGCCTTTCAACCCAGAGGTGGGGTGGTGGAGAGAGTCTGTGGTCATCTCGTAGAGCTCCCTCACTGCTTTTCTTACCTTCTGCCTCTCTTCTCTCTTTTTTCTTCTCTCTGCTGGTGCTGTTTGATGGCTGCTGGGCTGGATCACCAACAGGAATGCTTTGGGGTAACTATGCTGTTTGGGTCACCATGGGGTGCTGTGCTGGGGAGCATGGGGGACAGGCTCAGCCTTGGCCATAGGCACAGGAGAACCAGGCTTTCCTTCAGGCATTGTCCAGCCTGATATCCCATACCCATGTTGGAGGCCAAGCAAATCCCCAGGAGGTTTCCCGAGGTCTGAAGAGGTCCCTCCTTGGCAGATGTAAACCCCTGCAGTTGAGTTGCCCTTGGTGGCAGCTTGCACCAGCTGAGTGTTGCCCTCAAATCCCCACCCCAGCCCCCATTCTGATGCCCCAGCTGCTTACCCAGGCCCTGACACTGAGCAAAGCAGGAGACGGGAGGTTCTACACGAGTCCTGAGGCTGTTTGTACAGTTGCTTCCTATGCATTTGTGGGGCTGGGACCCTAGGGAGGACTATTAATTAGTGGCTTTGTTTACATCTCTTAATGATTAAGCCTATTATTGTGCTCCCTGTTGCATTAACCCTCACAAAGGAACTGTGTAATTTGGAGCGTCTGTTGTTGTAAGATGTTTCCTTGACCTTTTATGAAGGTGCCCAGTGGATACAAACTGTGCAACCTTCACCAGAACCTCTCTGCTCCATCCTGGGGTCCAACCCATGGGCTTCAGTTAAAAGACAAGAAAAAAAAAATTGTGGTTGGGATTAATCACCATATTCAAGAAATAAGGGTCAAGAGGGCTCTTAGTGCTGCTTTTCTAAATAATCCTAATGGTAAACTCTGTCTCCCTGAGCTGACTTGGGGTGGAGGCAAGTGCAGTG